ATATATATATATATATATATAATTATTCGTTTATTCTACCATAGGATATCATCGTTTAAATATATAATATAATTTGGTACAATAATATTAATAATTAGTTGTAATTTTTACTCTTATAACGTGGATTTAATTTGAAAATAAATACATATAATCTGATTATGCCATAATTTTCTAATTAGTTTTCAATATAATTTCATATTGTCAGTATTTCAAATTGTTGATATCGCAATAAAAAGTAAATTTGTTTTGGCAGTCCAAAACGTCTAAATAAGATCATCGGATTAAAAAATGATGATGTGATGTATAATACATAAACATATAAAAGTGAAGTGGTATCATACATACGTAGAATATCTATATATGATACACAGAATATGATACGTTCCCAACCCTGTTGGGCACTACTGCGCAAACTTTTTTATAAGGATACATCCGCGTTTCGGTATGATACAAAATGCAGGAAATGAATATGCATCACAGAAATTAACTATAAATAACTATAAATAACTTAGAGAAATCATCATGCACGACAATATGAAATCGTGGTCGGACAAAATCAAAAGATTACGTATGTGCTTACACGTATACGGACGACAGAGTCTGAATCTCGGCAGGAAGAAATTGCGATAGCAGCACAGTTAAAAGTGATTGTTGGTGCTTGTGCACAAAAAAAAAATTAATTGAGTGGTACAGCAAACCTATATATCTTATTGCGCGAATTTAACATCTATAACTAAGAAGATTTGATTTAATAAATCGCTAATGTTATTCAGCTCAATTTTGCTACTTTAACATAAAAAATTGACTGTCTATATATTACGATTGTAAATTTGCTGAGTCAGTGAAGTTTTCAGCTGTGTTTTTTTTTTTGTGTGATTCTTAATCCACTTCATTCAGCTAATCCGGAAAAAAATCAAGGACCCTGGCAGCGCTGAATTTTTCGATCGGTAATCAAACCAGAGTGCGGATCGTGAACAGTATGTCCAGACTATGGCTGTGGTCAAAATCTCGCTACAAATGCTTTGAAGCATTTGATGGACCAATTAGAAAAAAGAATTTTATAAACTGACCAATTAAAAAACGCTTCAAAGTGTTTGCAGCAACGCGTTGATCATACCCTACGAAATATTATTACGAGTCCATCTTACGTATGTGTGTACGTGATCGCGATTTCTCCCAGCCGTCGTCGCGAATAGTCTGATCATGAATTTATCTATCGAGAAGACTCAGGGTGAGATGAAAGGCACCCCTAGGCGAAGTCTCAGAGCGATCCAGGGACTTGAGTTCCCCTAGACAACATCACTATCCGGATATTCGTTATAACGCTTTCACTCTCGCGCTATTTAATGTTTTCTATCAAATAGAAAACGTTAAATAGTGCAAGAGTGAAAGCGTCAAGTGTACTGTAATCTGATAAACATTAATGAGAGCGATAATGAAACCAATTGTACTGTAACTAATAAATGTTAATGAAATACGGAACATCAGTGGAGATATTAAGATCAGGGAGATGTTGTCTCCCTGATCTATAAGATAATTCCATTTAAAAAGTACTTTCAGAGGCTCCATGATAGTCCATGAGCACACTTTGATCAAACTAATAGTGAATTCAATTGGATCGCATTCAATGCATACTGGTGCACATTCCCTGATGAAAATAAAAATCGGATGTAATGGAAGAGTAACAAAAACGTGAACGAAACTTCTAGAAGGCGAAAATTGAAATATCAAAATGTAAAAGAAGTAAATGTAATTTTAAGATATTTTTCAGTGTTCTTTGTGAAACATTTTCAAGATGTTTCTTAAAGAACTCTTAAAGAGAAAAAGAGATATTTTAAAAGTTGTCTTATATATCAATTTTAGATATTTTGCTCAACTAAAAAAAATATTGCGAAAATTGCAAAATGGTAGACTTTTCGATTCAATTTTTTATTAGGAATTTTTATTAGGAATCATATACTATATGATTAGTGGGCATTATTTAAGAAACATCCTGTATATGTTTATGTATATATATATATTAATGTGTATATTAATGTGTATATGTGTATATTAATGTGTATATGTATATAGTCGAACCTCTATAAAAGTAACTTGTTGGGACAGGCCTCTGTAAAATGCGCCTCCGTAAATGCGCATGCGCGAACATATGTGTGCGCTTACTATATGGGAGGTTAAGACATGCTTTAGGATGAAATCGCGATGCAGAAAACGATTGCGCAATAGAGAATGCGTTATAGAAGCAATCAATCAATTCGGAAGAACGCAAAATAACGCTGATTGATTGTTTCTATGATACCTTTTCTATTCCGCAGTCGTTTTTCACACCATGTGATTTTACTCTTACGAAGGTCAAAACAAAACGGAGATTAACTTTACGGAGGTTCGACTATATTTTAAATGATTTGTGTATATAATTTAATCTAATATAATAACTAACTATAATATTTTATAACTAATATAATATTTGATGACATAAAATTTTTCATGCATGAATATGTATAAATATATATAAACATATATAAATATTTATAAACATATATATTAGGTGTACAACTTTGCTTCCGCCGTTTTCCTATAGATGGCTTTAGCGATAAGTGGTAGTCGAAATAAATAGATCATAGACGTCGTACAATAAACTTGGGCATCTGTCAACATAACCCCATAGAAACATTAGTCGATTTGTCTGTATCAT